CAATATTCGAATATACAATTAAGTTTATAAATCAAAGAGCAAAATCAGTAAGTGGCTTGAAAACTCATTTTCGTACCGCATTATTTTATACTCACGCTCTTATTACCGTTTCTATTGCCGTTGTATGGAACTTACTTGTTTTGAGAATGAATTCCATATAAGAAGCAACGCATCGTTATGTAAAAAAGAGTTGAAAAATTAAGGTAATAATTTAGAGATTGTACATTAAACGAAAATTTTTGCAGATTCATTTTATCAGCCAATCAAATCACTAGTTACGTATGATCACATGTTTATTCACTCTCTGATTGGTTTAGTATATTGATAAGGGCATGCCCTGGCACAAAGGTGCATGCCCCTAGTCGAAGGCATGCCCCTCTGGGCATGCCTAAAAATTTTGCCATGCCCCTCACCCTAGTTATTACGGCTTTTAATTTTTATTTGTTTTTGTATTATTTTATTTGTAAGTTGCCATTCTGACAAAAAAAATTATTAAATAAAGAAGAGGGTCCTGTAGCCTTCTCATGTTTTATTTTTATGTGATTTTTACATACTGGATTATTTTAGCTGAATTAATTTGTTTTTTCCATAAATGATATATCTTCTAGATAATTAATAATGCATGATGCTAATTGAACTTTAAAATCTCTATATTTAGGGTTATTACTTATTTGCTTATGGCTGGTTAAATTATTTTTAATATGGAATACAAAATTTTCCCAATGATCTTTACTATTAATTTCATATCCAAAAATAAATAAATATCTACCGTATTGTCATGAAATAATGCTCATCTGCATGTTATTTAAAGTATATACGCGTTATTTAGAGTACATGCATGAGCATTATTTGAAGACAAAGAACAAATTTTTGCTAACCTAATGTTTTCAAATAATGCCCATGCGCTATATTTGGTAAACCAGTATTGTTATCTGTTATTATTATACTTAAATTACAGGTTTTTACTATCTCAATAACAATAAATAAAACATTATTTATTAAATATACGTACGTACCTTTATCTAGTGCAAAGATACTGTGGTGATTTTTGAAGCCTTTACTATTTTAGATGCAAGCATTGGTTGATTGTTTTTCTTGGTATTACTTATAGCTATGTAACAACAGTTTATATTTATATAAGAATGCAACAGCAGTTTACTTAATATTTATTTGTTAAAAAAACGTAGTTTATTTAAAAACATAATTCATTACATTAGACTTTTTCGATTTTTTTTTTTTTTTTTTTTTTTAATTTAGCAAAAAACTTACAATACTGCTCTCAAAAAATGTTACTCTTCAAAATATTACTCTTATTGCTGATAATTATTAGCATTAGAAAAAATAGAGAAACTCACTATATGAGCAAATGCAAAAATTTATTTGCAAACTTGTATCATCAAAAATTAAACCAATTAATCTTAAATATTGTCAAACCATCTTTAATTCTGTATGATTCTTTTTTTTTGTATGTATCACAAAAATATAAATGTAAAATTACCCTTTTTTTGTGTATACAGATTGTTTGTTCTGTTACAATTGAGCATAGATACCACAAAATAAAGCTATACTGTCGCGTTTAAACTTGAAATAATTTCCTATGCAGAAAACACTTCAAACCGCCATGCCTCTTTATTTTACAAAATCGACCGTAAACGTGTGCAAGAGTGGATCAAACAAAAAAAGGAGCTCAAAGCTATAAGAAACAATAAAGATTTAAATGTAAACCAAATGCGAGTTCTAAAAGTCATGGTAAAAAAGTAACACACCCTACGTTGGACAAAGAATTGATAGAGTTTGTTAAAAAAAAAGAGAAAAAAAAGCCACTGTTACAACGTCTATGCTTGTAAAGAAAGCCAAAAATCTAGGTGAAACTTTAAATATAAATAATATGAAATTTTCGCGTGGGTGGGTTGAATGTTTCAAGCAACGGTATAACCTAGTAAAATGTGCTAGAATGCAAGTAGCACAGAAGATACCTGAAGATCAACTCTTAGTCATTAAAAACTTTCTTAAAAATTCCCATGAAAAAACAATCAATATTGAAAAAAATATATTTTATCTTTTAACGAGACACTTATGTATTTTGACATGCTAATGAATTCAACTATTGATTTTAAAGGTGTTTGAGAAGTACTAGTGAAAACCACAGGGCATGAAAAATTGCGATTTACAGTAGTGCTAGGTTATATAGCCACAGGAGAGAAACTTCCTCCAACTGTAATCTTTAAACTAAAAAAAAACCAAAAGACAAAATTTCAAGAGATATCATAGTTGCAGTGGCACCTTATGCAAACATAACAGGAGACTTAATGATCTCTACCTACATCCCACAAGTTATTTGGACAAGGCCAAATGGGTTTTTTAAAAGTAAGGGCATAATTTTCGTTGATATGCATCATAGTCATGTTTACGACGATGTTATTAGAGCATTGAATGTGGAAGGTTTGGACATTATAGAAATTCCAGGTAAAACCACAAGTGTTTTGCAGCTGCCAGATGTTTCAGTAAACAAACCTTTTAAAGACGGAATGAAAAGAAAATGAGTTGGATGGATGGAGAAAGGAAAAAGAGGATACACCAAAAATAGCAATCCACAAAAAGCACCCTATAAACAAGTTTGTGAATGGGTTTTCAAAACATAAAAAGAAATTAGTGTGAATATTTTAGTTAAGTCTTTTGAGGCAACAGGGCTTATGTTAGACCCTGACGGGAGTGAAGATTATAAAATATTAAATCGACTTCAAGCTATTGTTGAAAACTGCCTAAATAAATTGTCAATTGAAGATATGTCTTCAAGAGATGAATCAAGTCCTAGTAATAGTAGTGCATTACATAATGATGAACTAGATAACACTGGATCAGATGACGATGATGAAGACATCATGGATGATGATGATATTGTTTTTGACAGTACCAATATCATGGATGATGATATTTTTTTTGATGATAACCATGAAAATGATATTTTTTTTGTTGGTAATGAATATACCATGAATGATAATGATATTGTTTTTGGTAATAGTTATGAGCAGTTAATGTAATGGAAATAGATTAATGATTAAAATCAGCCAAAAATATTTTTTTTAAAGCAGAATTTATACTTGTTAATAATAAATAAAAAAATAAATAAATTTTTTTATTTCGTGATATAATTAATGCTAGTAATGTTTGTATTTGGCCACCTAACTGTAAAGGTAAAATTTTAAATGCTTTTACCTGATATATAAAATTTTGAAATTTAGTGATCCAATTATTTAAAAAAATTTTCATTAACAGTAAATAATTAAAATAATTCACGAATTTATTGTGCAATAATGGATATTCATTTTATTCTGAAAATCTTATGCTATCTAAGTTCTATAAATAGTAATTTAATAAATCTAATTTCCAGTTTTTCTATATATACAGTACGAATAGGATAGTATATTTAACTAATTTATTAGAAATTGAATCAGATAATATGTTCGTGCCAAATAATCATGAATACAAAACTTTGCCAAATTAACAAATTGTACTTAAAATTAATTTATCGAAATAATTATTAACCGATTGTCCCAAATAATAAGATTGAGGTACAATAAGATATATAAAATAAATTTAAGGTTTAAAAAAAAACAGGTTTGTAAGTGGAGTGCACGTTATTTAGGGACGTGCATAGGCGTTATTTTGAGGCAATACCTACTATTTTTAGGGTTACAATTTTCTAATTAACGCCCATGCCCGTTATTTCACGACAATACAGTACATATAAATTTGGGTGGATGATACTTTGCAAATCGTAACCAAGCTTCTGGTGTTTTTAAATTATTGATATAGTTTAACTCATATTTGGTTAACATGTTTTGGGCATAATCATTATTACTTCACAATAACTCTTTGGGCTAAATATTTTTATATTTAAAAAAATATTAACTTTAACTATATATTTATTTATCTAACTTATTTCTGTAAGCTAGATATGTAAGATACATATTTATTTTGATACTTTTTTGAGAGCTTAACTCTTAAAGCTCATTCTTTAGCCAACTCTAGAGATATTCTATTTGATATAAAATTTTATATGCTTGTATATGCCAATGACCATATGGCAAACTAGTTATTTTATTAAATAATATCTAACGCTTAGTATCTATAAAGCAAAGAGCCTTCTTTTCTGATTCAACCAAAGATAATATATGGTCTTTTGATTAGATATCTACATTTTTAGCATAGAATACTTCATTATTAAAGAGACAGTCTCGATATACTAGAGTCATAGGATCTGCCTCAGTTCGCATAGCTAAATTCTTGACTTCTTCTTCAGATAATAATGATTTATTTACTGGATCATCTAATAAAGACCCTTCTAAATCAAACATATATGAATTCATGGCCATTTCACTCATACTCTTTTTGCTAACTCTCTTATACTTAGACTTTGTAGACTTATCTGCCAAAACATAGTGATAAGACTTGGATTGAATATGTATAGATTCTAAAATTACACTATTTGAGTCTCATCCTTGTAAAGACCTATAGTTTTTAAGTCATTAAGATTGAAAAGGTCAGGTCGCTTAGCCATATTTTTATAGATATCCTTAGTTTCAACTATAAATATAAATGAGTCTGTATTTATATATCCAAGTATAGCTTTATCACCATATCTCTTTTACATATTCATACCAGAAGCGATACATTAAAAGCTTGCTAAGTCCTAAAACTGATGCTCTAACAATTATAGGCTTGTTGAGAGTTATATTAGCTTTTCCTATATATGCTTCTACTAAAGTATTTCCAAGTTGTCTAGCATACTTAAAAGAGGATTTACGAATTTGATTAATAAACTTCTTTTCATCTTGCTTATTATTTATAGCTATGAGTTTGACATCTTGATATTTATGAACATTCTCTATAGTCTTGCCATATACAGAATTGTTCATAAGCTTAAAGAAGTTTTTCTTGAAAGTATTCTTAGCACTTTGTCGCTTTTTTGTATTGAAGGCTATATAAGGGGCAAGCCAATTAGTCTAATCGAAAGATAGGATATCTATAATTTTATCAACAATCATACCTAATTTTACATAGTATTGAAGTTCTTGATAATGGATAACATAATCCTTTCGTGGTCCAAGATGGGATACTAATTTTTCTGTTGCTGAAAATTGTCCACTATCCAATTTATCTACAAACTCTGTAGTATGGGAACACAATATATCTTTACTTACAGCCATATTCTCTATAGCTGGAGGTAAATCACTCAAATAGTTATGAGTTTTTAAAGGAAAATGTGCATTAATCTTTAGAAAATATCTTTTTTTAGTATCTGCTTTGGTATTAAGAATCTTTTTAAGATATTTCTTTTGCTCATTTGGATAATCCTCAAGATATTGCCAACTTGCTTTCTATTGATAATTTCCAATAGGCAAATACTGACTCATAGCCCAGCTATAAAGATTATTTGCATCAATATAGCATATCCATGTTGTTGGTTTAGATGGGTTAAAGGCCTTGTCTATTTTTGAGTTATTAGCTTTGAAATAGTGCTTACAAGCTATAGATATTCCTCTATGCTTAGCCTTTTCAATAAAATCATGCATAGACATATCTGTAAAAAGCTCAATTTTAATACCTGTCTTCTTAAGCATTGTATCCCATAATAGTGCAGGTGCTGAAACATAATGACTAGGATCAAGCTCATAATACTGCATACATGTCTTTCGAAATTGGGTCCAAATATCTGCAAGACTAAGTACAGTCGTCCTCCCCTATAATTACACAGTTGGGCACATACTAATCAGGTGATTATAAAGAGGTGTGACCTTATAAAAGTACCTCTATACAAGCACAAATTATAATTGATATAAAAAAGTGATTTAATAGAGGTATTTTAAAAAATTTTTATTGC